TCACTTCTTTGGTGATGTTAATTCCCAAGCATTTAATTTTATTTGTGGCTATTGTAAATGGGATTACTTTCTTGATTTCTTTTTCAGACTGTTTGCTGTTGGCATACTGATTTTTGTATGTTGATGTTGTATTCTGCAACTTTATTGAATTTGTTCATCATTTCTATTGTTTTTTTAATGGAGTCCTTAGTTTTTTTCCAAATATAAGATCATATCTGCAAACAAGGATAATTTGACTCCTTCCTTTTCAATATGGCTGCCCTTTATTTATTTGGTCTGATTGCTCTAGCTCAGACTTCCAGTACTATGTTGAATGACTGTGGTGAAAATGGGCAGCCTTATTGTATTGCAGATCGTAGATGAAAGGCTTTCGGTTTTTCTCCATTCAGTGCAATATTACATATGGGTCTGCCATATATGGCTTTTGTTATATTGAAGTATGTTCCTTTCATATCCAGTTTTTTTGCAGGTTTTTATGATGAAGAGATGTTGAGCTTTATCAAGTGCTTTTTCAGCATCAATTGAAATGATCAAATGATATTATTATTATAAATTATTTTAAATTTTTTGATTATTTTAAATTTTTTGATTAGGGGCAGAATGCAGGATATCATTAAACAATAATGGTAATAGCTTCTCTTTGTACTTCTGGTAGAATTCGGCTGTAAATCCATCTGGTCCTGGGCTTTTATTTTTGGTTGGTAGGCTATTGATTACTGCCTTAGTGTCAGAACTTGTTAATGGTCTCTTCAGAGATTCGAATTCTTCCTGGTTTAGTCTTGGGAGGGTGTATATGTCCAGGAATTTATGTATTTCTTCTAGATTTTCTAGTTTATTTGCACAGAGGTTTTTATAGTATTCTCTAATGATACTTCGTATTTCTGTGGTGATATCCCCTTTATCATTTTTTATTATGTCTATTTGATTCTTCTATCTTTTCTTCTTTATTAGTCTAGCTAGCAGTCTATCTATTTTGTTAATTTTTTCAAAAAGCCAGCTCCTAGATTCCTTGATTATTTGAAGGGTTTTTTGTGTCTCTATCTCCTTCAGTTCTGCTCTGATCTTAGTTATTTTTTGTCTTCTGCTGGCTTTTGAATTCTTTGCTCTGGCATCTCTAGTTCTTTTCAATGTGATGTTAAGGTGTTGATTTGAGATCTTTTCAGCTTTCTGATGTGGGCATTTAGTGCTATAAATTTTCCTCTTAATACTGCTTTAGCTGTGTCTCAGAGATTCTGGCACATTGCCTTTTTGTTCTCATTGGTTTCAAAGAGTTTTCTTGATTTCTGCCTTAATTTCATTATTTACCCAGGAGTCATTTAGGAGCAGGTTGTTCAATTTCCATGTAATTGTGTGATTTTGAGTGAGTTTCTTAATCCTGAGTTCTAATTTGACTGCACTGTGTTCTGAGAGACTGTTTTTATGATTTCAGTTCTTTTGCATTTGCTGAAGAATGTTTTACTTCCAATTATGTGATTGGTTTTAGAATAAGTGCCATGTGGCACTGAGAAGGATGTATATTCTGTTGATTTGGGGTGAAGAATTCTGAGTTTGAGTACTGAATATCATTGTTAATTTTCTGTCCTGTTGATCTGTCTAATATTGACAATGGGGTGTTAAAGTCTCCCACTATTATCGTGTGGGAGTCTGAGTCTCTTTGTAGGTCTCTAAGAACTTGTCTTAGGAATCTGGGTGCTCTTCTGTTGGGTGCATATATATTTAGGATAGTTAGCTCTTCTTGTTGTATTGATCCTTTTACCATTATGTAATGCCCTTCTTTGTCTTTTTGATCTTTGTTTGTTTAAAGTCTGTTTTATCAGAGACTAGGATTATAACCCCTGCTTTTTTTTTACTTTCCATTTGCTTGGCCAAATTTCCTCCATCCATTTATTTTGAGCCTATGTGTGTTTTTGCATGTGAGATGGGTCTCCTGAATATAGCACACTGATTTGTCTTGACTCTTTACCCAATTTGCCAGTCTGTGTCTTTTAATTGTGGCATTTAGCCTATTTACATTTAAGGTTAATATTGTTATGTGTGAATTTGGCCCTGTTATCATGATGCTAGCTGGTTATTTTGCACACTCGTTGGTGCAGTTTCTTCACAGTGTCATTGGTTTTTATACTTTGGTGTGTTTTTGCACTGCCTGATACTTGTTTTTCCTCTCTATATTTACTGCTTCCTTCAGGAGCTCTTGCAAGGCAGGCCTGGTAGTGATGAAATCCCTTAGCATTTGTTTGTTTGTAAATGTTTTTATTTTTCCTTTGCTTATGAAGCATGGTTTGCTTGAATATTAAATTCTGGGTTGAAAATTCTTTTCTTTAAGAATGTTGGATATTAGCCCCAACTCTTTTCTGGCTTGTAGGGTTTCTGCCAAGAGATCTGCTGTTAGTCTGATGGGCTTTCTTTTGTAAGTGACCTGACCCTTCTGGCTGCCCTTAACATTGTTTTCTTCATTTTGATCTTGGAGAATATGATGATTATGTTTCTTGGGGTTGATCTCATGGAGTATCTTCATGATGTGCTCTGTATTTCCTGAATTTAAATGTTGACCTGTCTTGCTAGCTTGGGGAAATTCTCCTGGATAATATCCTGAAGTGTGTTTTCCAACTTGATTCCATTCTCTCCATCACTTTCAGGTACACCAATTAAGTGTATGCTCAGTCTATTAACATAGTCATATATTTCTTGGAGGTTTTGTTTATTCCTTTTCATTATTTTTTCTCTAATCTTGTCTGCAAGCCTTATTTTGGCAAGGTGGTCTTCAAACTCTGATACGCTTTCTTCTACTTGATCAATTGGGCTATTGATACTTGTGTATACTTCACAAAGTTCTCATGCTGTGTTTTTCAGTTCCATCAGGTCATTTATGCTCCTCTCTAAACTGATTATACCACTTAGCATCTCCTGTAACCTTTTATGAAGGTTCTTAGCTTCTTTGCATTGGGTTAGAACATGCCCCTTTAACTCACTGGAGTTTGTTATTACCCACCTTCTGAAATCTCCTTCTGTCAATTTGTCCATCTCATTTTCTGCCCATTTCTGCGCCCTTGCTGGAGAGGCATTGCAATCATTTGGAGGAGAAGCAGCATTCTGGCTTTTGGAATTTTCAGTGTTTTTGCACTGGTTTTTCCTCAGCTTCATGGACTTATCTACCTTTGATATTTGAGGCTGATGATCTTGGATGGGCTTTTTGTGGAGGAGTCTTTTTTGTTGATATTGTCATTGTTGTTGCTTTCTGTTTGTTAGTTTTTCTTCTAACAGTTAGGTCCCTTTTCTTCAGGTCTGCTGCAGTTTGCTGGAGGTCCACTCCAGACCCTGTTCACCTGGGTATCACCAGTGGAGACTGTGGAACTATAAAGATTGCTGCTTTCTCCTTCCTCTGGAGGTTTCATCCCAGAGAGGCAGCGACCTGATGCCAGTCAGAGGTCTTCTGCATGAGGTGTCTGTCAACCCCTGTCGGGAGATCTCTCCAAGTCAGTAGGCATGGGGGTCAGGGACCCACTTGAGGAGACAGTCTGTCCCTTAGCACAACTGGTGCACTGTGTGGGAGAATCCCCTTTGTCAGGATCAGCCATTTTCTTCAGAGCCAACAGGCAGGAAAGATGAAGTCTGCTGAACCTGCAACCACAGCCATCCCTCACCCAGGTGCTCTGTCCCAGGGAGATGAGAGTTTTGTCTGTAAGCACTTGACTGGAGCTCCTGTATTTCCTGTAGAGATGCCCTGTCCAGTGATGAGGAATCTAAAGAAGCAGTCTGGCCACAGCCACTTTGCTACATTGTGGTGAATTCGATCCAGTCCAAACCTCCCAGTCTCCTTAGCACTGTCAGGGAAAAACTGCCCACTAAAGCCACAGTAATGGTGGCTGCCCCTCCCCCAACCAAACTTGATCATCCCAGGCCAACTCCAGACTGCTGTGCTGGCAGTAAGAATTTCAGACTGGTGGTCTTAGCTTGCTGGGCTCCATGGGAGGGGGACCTGCTGAGTGAGACTTCTTGGCTTCCTGGCTTCAGCCCCCTTTCCAGGGGAGTGGATGGTTGTCCTCTCTTACTGGAGTTCCATGTGCCACTGTTTTTCACTCCTGTAGCTCAGTGCCTACCCAAACAGCTACCCAGTTTTGTGCTTGAAATCCAGGGCCCTGGTGGTGTAGGTTCACAAGGGAATCTCCTGATCTCTGGATTGCAAAAATCTGGGGAAAAGCATAGTACCCTGGTTAGGTAACACAGTCCCTCACCACTACTCTTGACTGGGGGAGGGAGGTCCCCTGCCTCTGTCCACTTCATGGGTGAAATGATGCCCCACTCTGCTTCTGCTCACTCTCAGTGGGTCGCACCCATTGCCTAACCAGTCCCAGTGAGATGAACTGCATACCTCAGTTGGAAATGCAATCATCTGCCTTCTGTGATGGCCTTGATGGGAGCTGCAGACCAGAGCTGTTTCTATTTGGCCATCTTGGCCCCTCCCCTCATTTTAACATTTTGTATAGTTCTAGCTGAGTAGTGGCAAATTCTCTCAGCATTTGTTTGTCTGAAATAGACTATCTTTTCTACATTTATGAAGCTTAGCTTTGCTGGATACAAAATCCTTGGCTGACAATTATTTTGTTTTATGAGGCTGAAGATAGGACCCCAATCCCTTCTGGCTTGCAAGGTTTCTACTGATTCTAATTGCCTCAGCCTTTCCTCTTTGTTCCTAACCATCTCCTGGCATCTCGAGTATGTAGATATCACTAGCTATCCTTTCTGTGTGGTTATTCTCCATGTTTTTGCTCCTCTGTATTGCTGCAGATTCTTTAATGGGCCCTTGAGCCCTCTCAGAGCTTATTTTGGGTTTGTGGATAGCTCTCTCTCTCCTCCTCTCTCCTCTCCTCTCTCTCTATATATATTATTATAATATAATAATTTTTTTTTGGTGATGGGGATGGAAGGCTAATACTTTCTTACTCCGTAATCTGGTCGTACTCATGAAAGCTTTCTTATATCTCATAACTATGTCTTTGCAGAGCCCGCAGCCACTTTGTCGGTCATCGGGGGCAGATAATCCTGGGTGCCAAGAACAACCGTGACTGGAGTTTGTTTTATTTGGGCCTTTTGAGAGCAGAGAGAATGCAGCATGCCATGCTTTGCGGTATTCTTCCTCTTTCATGTGCTCACTGTCCTGGGGAACCTTCTGGTTATCATACACCATCAATGCTAGCAAGACTCTGAAGTCTCCCATGTATTCTTTCCTGAGCCACTTGGTCTTTGCTGACGTATGTTATCCATCTGCTTACCATACCCAAGATGATGCTGACACTTTTGTGGAGCATAAGAATGCCCTCACATCGCTTCAATCGGCTGCATGACCCAGCTCTTTTTGCCCCACTTCTTTGGTGGGCACTGAGACTCTTTCCTCCCTTAAGGCCATGCCTTGCACCGCCGCTATGTCGGCCATCTGTAGGCCCTCGCCTACAGAGCATCATGGATCGCGGTCGAAAGTGTGGCCGTGCTAGCGGGGGGCCCTCTGTTAGCTGGCTGCCTGCCATTCCATCCCTGGCAGGGACCCTCCTCACGGTTCAGCTGCCTTTGTGGGCCAATGAGAATCGAAACTTCTCTGTGATGTTCATCCCCTGCTCAAGTTGTGCTGTGCAGACACCTACTATGGTGGTCTCCATGTGGGTGCAACACGTGGTAGGTTTCTTTAGTCTCCTTCTTTATCCTTCTCATTTCCTATGTTATCATCTTTACTGAAAGCTAAGAAAACCAGTCATCTGCGAGGCCCGCGCTAAGGGGGGGCTCTCTCCACGTGTGGCTCACACATAATCCACTGGTCCTTTTCGGTTCTCATGCCCATGTTCATGTACCATTCGTCCCTTCCACCACCTGGCTGTCTGAACAACTTATACCTCACTCTTTATACATTAGTGAGCCACCTTTGCTGAACCCTTTGGATCTTATGTAAGGAACAATGAAGGCGAAAATGCCATGAGGAAGCTGTGTTTAGCATCAAGAAGAGCTTTAGGGGAGAGTGACAACTCCAGAGAATCTCAATCCAGCGAGAGAAATTGGGAGACTTTCCATCTGTAGCATAACTACAGCCCTTTGTTATTTCCAGTCTGATGTTTTGGCAATGCAATTATCCTCCTAGCTCTTGTTTGTTTAATAACCCCAACTATCGTTTCAATCCTTGTAGTCTAGATAATTTAGTTGAAGTTTAACAGTAGTGAGAATGACAAATGAAAGTAAGATATGTCTTTCCCTCAAGGGAGAAGTAGAGTCCAGAAGGTTCTTAAGTGTGATATTTAAGAGGCTCATTCAGAAACACTTGTGGAGTGGCCCTGTGATGAGGAGTGTACTGGGAAGCCCAGGTAGTCTCATTGATATTGACATAAATCACTACATAATTCATTTGTGTTGGCTAACACAGTGCTCAGTGAAATTCATTTTTCTTTTAAGAGTAAAGAGCCACTTTACTCTTATCCCTCCATACTCTCAGCAGGCTGATAAATAAGTAAATAAATATATAAGTAAATAAATAATGTGGAGCGGTGAAGGGATTTACTCAAACTTATACTTTAACTCCAGAGCAGGGTGAGGACTAGAACACAGGTCCCTAAGTCAGCTTTCAGGGCTTTTCCCAACTCAGGACCTCTTGATAAAGTGTGACAAAATGGACACCAAGCAGGAATGACCAGGAACTTTTGAAGGACCAAGGAATGATGGTGATGATGACTTGGGATGATGAAGAGAAGAGCCAGGAAGAACAAATTGTTAGCACTTCTTTCAGGGATGCAGATTCCTCTCTCCAGCCCAACAGCGGACTGCAGCCCTCTTTAACCCCTGTTGCTTTGCTCCATTTTGCCGCTAGAGGGAGCCAAGTTTGTACAGGATGCAATTAGAAGAGCTGGATTGGGTATCTCTTAAACATTAATGGGTCATTTAACCTCATTGGGCCTCAATTTCCGTATTTACAGAAGGAGACATTGACAATACCAGCTTCAGAAGGCTGTGAGAGGACCTGTAAGACTTTGTAAAGACCTACATCAAAGTCTGTTGTTCAATGGTGGCTGCCAGCTGTTTTTAAATAATATCTTCGATTCCCCTTTCTCTTCCTTTTCACCGCTCTATCCCTGCCTTTCCCTCAAAGCCCTTGTAACCAAACTATCACATTATTTCATTTATTCCAAAAGTGTTTATTGAACACTTAGCATTTGCTGGGTGATATTCCTGGGGCTAGAAATACAGCACAAAAGAAAGCAGGCAAAACTCCTTGTTCTCATGGAGTTTGTATTTTAATGTGTGATAAAAGCTGACCCTTACTGAATTCTTCCAATCTGCAGACACTCTTCTAAATGTTTTAATTGTATTAACTTCTTTAATCCTTTCAACAACTTAATGAATGAGGTATAATCACCAGGAATGTGATGAGGGTTGGGTGAGAGTGGTGGTAGTAAGGAGGACTTATTAGTACCATCTGATGCTGAACTAACACAAATGCAGATGTTGATCTTGATTATGAAAAAATAATAGCAATAAAATAGCAGTTGACACCTTGAAAGCATAATATTCTCAGAATTTTTCATGCACCAGCTGAATCTGTGTTGAATAAATAATCCCCTTATAAAACTCCTTGGAACAATGTGGGAACATGAATGGTTATTCAGGTTTAAAGATAAGCGGAGATACAGACAGGCTAAACTATGTACATAGGCCACACACAAAGACTTCTGATTGCTAGTTTAATGCTCTTTCACTACTGCTTTCATACAGTATTTTAAAGTAGAGTGATAGTGGTATGTATGTCTTACAGTTCCATTGAGGCCATCCCCACCTCCATCAACAGTTCCAGGCTCCATTTCCTGATGCATACAATTAAGGAGATTGTTTCGAATCTCTAAGGACCTTCAGCTCAGATATCCTATGATTCTATTTTGTTCAGGAATATAGATTACGTGAAATCTGGGTCATCTATTTTTTCCTCATTTTATTCACATATTTCCTTAGAATTAATTTTTAGGTGATTTTATAAAAAAAAATATTGCATATAGTTCCCGTAGATTTATGGACTTGACACAATTATCACAAGAGGAAAAACATCAAATTAAGAAGATTTAATTGTGTTTTTTCACTACTCTTCCTCTCTAAGAGACAACTCCATTTTAATGTTCCTACTACAGGTATTCTGAAAGTTACCAGTAGATGAAGCTCATTGACTGTTCTTTCAGCCACTCTGTCAGTACATTTACCCTTCAGTACTGAGTTTTCCTGGAGGACTTTTTTAGTTATAAAACAAACAAGATGTCATTGTTGTTATAAGTTTTACTTATTCTGCTGTGTTGGAGAGAGAGCAGGGAAAGGATGTGGTGGTAGGTATGGTATTGGGAAGGGACTAGAACTCCTCCTCCTTGGAAGGTGAAAGTGTCCACAGTGAAGGCAGAAAAGGAAGGTAGACTAGAGGTGAGAGGGCACCCCATGGCTGTTTCTTTCATAAAAGATTTAAAAATAGTATTACTTAAAAATTTTTGATACAAATAATATGTGATTATTTAATATATGTAATATGTAATAAATAACATATTATTATTAATATGTTATAAAACATAATTATTCATAATTATTTAATGATCATCTATGAACTTATTATCAATTAAGAACATTCCTAATAACTTGTGTCGTATGTGTCTTCTCATTCTATTTCTTTGCCTTCACAGTGATAACTAATATTCTCGTTTGGTTTACGACTTCCTTACTTTATGAAAATAGCTTTAACATATGTATATATACCTAACCCATATATTGCTAATTTTCTTATTTCTAATTTTATAAAAATGGTGTTATACATTGTGA